AATACTGTAAATATTACCCTATTTTAAGTATCTCAATAAATAGGACAAATGTAGCCTTTTGGTGAAGCAAAGGAAAGCATTAAACTATGGAAGTACTAATTTGTATTTCAATGGAAAAAGTAAACTCCGGTTAGGTCACGCTTGGTACATACCAGCTAAGAAATTTATTGGCACCGTGGACCATGTAAAAAGAAGTAGTTTGTATAATTGTAAACAAAATCAAGGAAACGCCGGTTATTTCGTTCAGTAAACATTTAAAAGTCGCTTCTCAAGATAAACCGGCAGATGGCAACATTGTGCTCGAGCTCATAAAAATGGATTATGAGGTCTTCGCCCAGTGGTGCTGCACATGGCGCCTCACCATTTCAGGGCAGAAATGATTAGTTATGGTTTTTGGCGACGACCAGCAGTCTGAACTAAATATAGACGGTCACGAATTAAATGTGCCAGGATTTATCAGGGATCTGGACATATCTTATTCGAATAGTCTCAAACTGTCACAGAACTGTGCCCTGATATTTGCAAAAGCACGCCGAACTACCGGATTTATTCTTAGAAATTGAAGTCTATAAATATTAGACCTAGCCTTTATATGTACGTGAGACCTAGTTCTTTACTAAAAAAGTCTTCCCTTCAGAAAACCGTAACTTAGCCTACCAACAACGGTGTGAACGTATAAAGCTTGATTCCCTGTGGCTTCAAAGATCACAGAAGAGTCTATTTTTACTACTTAAACTTTTGAATGGCCGTACCCTTAATCCCCTCAGTACCATAAGTCAGCTCGAGCACTCTCTGCGCGTAAGTCATCGAAATGTGTTTATATTTCTTCCTGTGGCACGCAAAGTTAAGTACCGTCAATTATTTTCAGTAAGCGCTATAGCAATCTAGAAGAAGCTCCCCAGAAGTATTACAATTCAGCAAAGTTACTGTTTGTTTAAGAGTTCTATCACTAGTTTTCTACATTCAGGACAACATTCACGAATTTTTGGTGCTGACTCGGTGGAATCTCTCTTTCACTCTGATGGCGTGCCAGGCCTCATGCTAAAAAATAATGCTGCTGAAGCTGCGGCCCGCAATTCTTCAGCCGACAGCAAACAACTTTTGCCGACAAATATTCAAGGAAATCTAAGAACACTTTGCTCTTGTGCCAATTCTTGTGCCAACCCTCCGCGTCCCGAACTAATGTCCTTAAACGATCTGCAGCTTTTTTTCCTGCTAATCTGTCAACTCAGTGTATATTGTACATACATTCCGTTTGTATCGTACCTTTGACGTCAGGTTTTTCTCACTTCAACGAGCCCTTACTTTCGCCCAGCATTGACAAAACACAAAATTGAAACAAAAACAACTCTGACTGCAAAAGAGGGAGATTTATTTAAGTTTTTTTAAGGCTTGGAGGTTTTGGAAGGCGCCCAAGAGGTGCTTTAACAATTTACACATTTTTTTAAATTGCCTGGAAACTGGCATAAGAAACATGTATATAAAACTATGGAAGTAACAATTGTTATTTCAAAGGAAACAGTAAAGTCAGGTCAGGTCACGTTTAGCAACGGAAATATTGTTTTTGAATTCCAGGTTAGTAGACACCAGATAATAAATTAATTTGCACAGTAGAACATGCTTAAAGAGGTAGTTTGTATGATCGCAAGCAAAAATCGGGCAAGCATCGGTTATTTCGGATATTAAACATATGCCGCTACTCGCTACTTCCAAGTACTAGAATCAAGCGTGTTAGTATTAGTTTTGTCCCAGGGTTTTATCGATGTCAATCGACACGAGTCAGTAAGCGGAATTGAGTACAAACTGCAAAGAGTATAAAAAATTTTATAGGAATTGTACTCCGCGTGCTTAAGCACCGGGAATATCTATGACCATTGCTGGGAAAGGAAACGTTTTTCTAATTACACCGGCGGACCCCTGAGAGTATGCATAATTGTTCACGAGAGCATATAAAGATTCTATTTAACTTTATGCGTAATGTCGACACTCTATGGAAATTTTTATTGCCGTGCTGTTGCCATAGACAACATGAAGAGGGAGTCTGTTTGCCTTAAACAAACGACTACCCACCTTCTTTTTATAATTAGGTTGTGCACTACATCTTGTCCAAAGCCACCGGCTGTTTCCTCAGACGTTATGAATAATGACAATAGATTGACTTAAGTCACGGAACGACAGAAAAATGAATGCTATGGTAAATACACGCACAAATACCCGTTTACTTGGTCGTTTGTGATGTTACTTCTTACCTGTGCTTTGGGGGCTGTAGAATTGGTTTAAAGCTAAGATTTTATATACATCCAAGGCTTTCCTTTGCTGAAAAAAATGATTTAAAGTCCACGGTCGGTAAAATAATACGAACTAAGCCATAAGTAGTTTATCCTTGTTAGCACAATAAACAAAGACCAGCAGTGGTTGATGCTTGTCTCAGAGATATCAGGACACACAACTGAGAGAGACATACCTCGGTTAGAATCGTTCGGCTTTAGTGACACTGATTGAAATAATTGGCTTCTTTTCTTAATTATACACTTGACGTCATCGATGACCACCTTAACGCCGTCCTGCCGATCATAATATTTGCGAAATTACAGGAGGAAAATAAACCGCTGTTAGGTTCACAGTTTATTGTGACTGCGAAAATGATGCTGACGTGCATTAAAAATCATACTTTACAACGAAAAATACGACGCCTTCAAGTACTGAAAATTAAATAGCACCTATATGATTAACCTCTGTTTTGGCGTCTCTTTCTGATACTGAATTTTAAATTCTTCCATTACCATTTTTTCCAAGTTACAAACATGTACACAGGTTCCGCATTATGTATCTGGAACTCTTCAATGTGCTCCTTTTTTCAGTTCGTTAGCGGAAACAATGATGGTGAGTGTGAAATTTCATTTGTGCCGCAATGGTCAGTAACGCTACTGCTTATTTTAAGATTCAGCACTGAAAATGCATGTCTGTTATGAACCATCAATCAACATTTGAAACTAACCTTACTGTAGTGTAGATATGGTCTTAACTCCTAGGGCTTCTTATTGCTTTTTGCATGATTTCTTAAATAAACTCCCATTCCACGCTCCAGCTAGGAACAAGAACATCAAACATTGTTGCTTGCAGATCTGTTTGTGATAGTATAATTATTGTGCCTGCTGGAAAAGAGGGAATAGTGGTCACCGTGGCTAACGCCGACGACGTCAGTATATTCTATA